CAAAACAATGATACTATGGCTGGTGTGAAAATTTTTTTGTCAGTAAGATTGTTTGAATTTTTTAGAATATTGAGAGAAGTTTTAATAATTCTTATCTCATTATTTTTGCAATTATATCTATATTATTTTTATAAATATTCATCCAAAATTTCTCTCAACCAAAATTTCATCTTAATAATCTAATTGAAAAAACTTTCAATATTTTTTAATTCTAAAAAAAAGTTTTATAAGATATATAGCTTTTATTAAATTCTCTTTTTTCTTTTTAACTTTCTAATATTAATTATTTTAACTTTTTTTCTATTCAAGTCCTTAAAGATAATATTATTATCAATGAAACCAAAGTTATTTTGTCTACTTCAAGTACAATTATAATTAATATTCTCTTAATAACTTATGATATTATTTAATAATATCTAGTCTTATTAACAATTAAAAACAAAAACAATCAAGATATTTTTTGACAAATTTTTAATAGCTCAAAAAAAATAGTCAAAACTAATTATATATTGATCATTTTAAGAATTATCAATCTAAGTATTTACAAATCAATTTGTCTCCAATTAGTAAAACCCAAGTTCAAATCAATAATAATTGAAATCATATATTGAAACATTTTTTTATCTTATTTTATTAAAAATTCTAACAATATTAATCTGAATAGCAATACTATATAGTTTAAAAAAATCTTAATAATTATCAAGATTTATATAATTTATAAAAGTTTCTTTATAATTAAAACTTTTTAAGAAACTCTAAATCTATACAAATTAAAAGTTTTTACTTAATTAATCAAGTAAATCAAAAGTCTATAAAATAACTTTTATAATGACTTAATATCTTTTAAAATCAAAATTTTTTTAAAAATACTTTCAATATGAGTTTTTCTTAATTAATTTTATCCAGAGCAGTACTTAAATTACTTTTGTTCAAAATATAAATTTAAAATTATATATTTGAGTATATCAAAGCAAAGAGTAAAATTGTTTATATTATTAATATTATAAATAATACTTTATATTCAAATTAAAGTAACAAACAGATTAATTATATCTGGCAAATAGTCAAGCTATTATATAGCCTTACCAGCAAAATTTTCTTTATAACAAATACTATTACTTGAAATAAAATAGTTTTTAAAAGCTTTTTTCTACTTTATAATCTCATTTAAAAATCAAGATACAATATAGTGAATATATTTTTTATTACTGGAATTAAATAAAATCCAAATTTTTATTAGTAAAAAAAAATCACAACTTAAGAAAAGCAAATCAAAAAATATCAAACTCTAGATTTAACTTAAACTCCTATAATAAACTAATTATGAATTTTTTATTACTTGTTACAAATAAATTTATTAATAGTAGCTACAATTTTATTTTATGTTATAAAAATTTAATAACTAATTTTAATAATCCCCCCCCTTTTTTTTTATAGATAAATATTATTTTTTTATTTGATTTGTATATAATAAGATATATATTGTAAAAAAAACAATATTTCTTATATGTTAATATAATAAATTAAATGCTAGCTTGTCTATAATAATCATGTAATTAATATTAAAAAGAAAATTTAAAACAATATATCTTATTAAATAATATTGAACAGCTATAAATATCTATTTAATATTAAAAAAAATAGAGTTAAAATTAGAATATAAAGATGTTAAACTATAAATATATTTGGAATAATTATATTAAAATTGGATAAATAAGTTAGTGACAATAGAAGTAAATTAATAATAGTTTTTTCTTATAAATTAATATTAGATATATTTTTGACTTGTGAAATATTCTTGTTTTTTGATTTAATAAGACTAGATTAATTAAAAAATTTAATATAACTCTACTTAATTTCAGTAAGAAGTAAGTTAATTTTAATAACTTTATTATCAATCCTGGATAGATGTTTATAGTTGCTTGATATTGTTTCAAATATATAATGGTTTTAATATTTATTTTTCTTATTATTTTAATAGTTTATATAGGCAAGTTAGTATTAAACTTATTAGCTTAATTAGGGTTCTTAATAAGCAAAGTTAAGTTAAGTTAAGCTAATTATTAAGCTTTTTTTGATCATTCAAATTTATAATATTGTTTATATTATACAAGTCTATGTAAGCTTATATGAGCTTATGCAAGTCAAAAAAATAAGTTTTTTTTAAAGTCTTGAGCTTAACAAGTTATATAAGAGATACTGTTACTTTCTTTATATATAAATTTCAATCAATTTTATTTATTTTTTTTTTTTTTGAGTAGGTAAACACTATTTCTTTATTTATTCATATATTACAAGGTATATATTTAGAAAGAAACAACATCTCTCACATACGATTGGCAATAAGTTTAATGCTAGCCTGCCTACAGTAATCACTTAACTTCTACTAGAAAAGACATTTTAAAACTAGTATACTAATCAAATGATGCCGAGCAGTTATGTATGTCTACTCAGAATTATTAAAGAGAAAAATAAAATTAACTAAAACTAAAACAAAATCAAATAAACTGTAAGATCTATAAGAAAAAAAATTATATTTCCAAGAAAACCCTGGCCAGGCTCGTTGTCTTGTCTCTCCGGTTCCTTTCGACTTATAGGTATAATCTTTGTTGACATGGATGATAAAGTGTATATAATTTGGTTTATCGTTATAGTTGTTGTTATTGTTGTGTTAGTGTGATTGGTGATTGGTAAGATGATTGGTCTGCAAGTTGGTGATATGATCTTGTTTTGATTATGGTTGCCAAAATTGGTTTTGTTTATGTTGATTATTGTGTAATGTTTTGATTGTATGAATTTGTTTGGATAATTGGTAATATCTGATTGGTTGATTTTGAGGTGATGATCAGTTGACAGGAGTAAACTGATTACGGTTTTTTGGTAGGAAATTTTTTGAGTGAAAATTTTTTGGTTTTTGTGACGTAGCATATTGTGCTGAGCAATAGTAAAAAGTGGGTATTGTGTATATTGCTGGTGCCCCAAACTAACAATATAAACAATGTGATATAAGATTTGATATTTTAAAGTAAAGAATAGCTCTCCAAGAACAAAAAATGGTTATTTAATAAGAATTGTTTTTTAATAAGAAATATAAATAGAAGGAACTCCAAGGAAAATTTGTAGAGAAGTAACTGCCACGAGCCTTTCCTCATGCAATTCAAGAAAATAGCAAGGTCCTCAAACTTGCTTTTTCCTGGCCAGAGATCCTATCCCAATGCACCAGAATACTTTTCTAGATTTCTCGAGGTTTCTGTAGTGAAGATAATAGAAGTGTAAAGGACTTTTAGGTGATTAAAAGTGAAGATAAAAAAAACTATTTCTTTAATTTTGAAAAAATTACTATAAAAGGAAATTTTTGAGAAAAATGTTATGTACGGGAAAGAGTTTTTTTTTTTGAATATTTTTCAATCAATTTTATAATTAATAAAGTAATAATATTTACTTATTAAAAAAAATATTATTATTTAAGTTATTAATATTTTTTGAATTTTTTAAATTAATATTTTTATCAATATTTAATCAAATTAGATAATTTGAAAACATAGATCTTAGATTATTAACCTATAAAATTTTTTTGAATTTTTATTTCAAGTATATACTGTATATAATAATATAAGATAGAATTCAAAGTATAAGTAATAATTATTTTTTTTCATACAAGTTCTACCTTATATGTGTATAATGTTTATAGATTATTTTTTATAATTAACTAATTAATTTATTTTTATTTATTTTATTTTTTGTATAATTATTATTAAATAATAATAATAATAATTAATTAATAATAATTAATTATATTTTTTGCTTTAGAATTATTATAAAATCATATGATCATATAATATATATTATTTTTCAAAAAATAAATGTATAAATATTATAATATAATGATAATAAAAATAAATAAATAATATTTTAAGATTTATATAAATTACAGTATATGTCACATAATATACACAGTATCTCTTAATTATAGGATAATAAATTTGTGATCCTCAAAATTTTTGGTTTACCTTCAAAAACAGTTACTCATATACTTTAACTTACCTATTATAATTAATCGATTGTTGATTATTTCAAGTGTTGATAAAAAGTCGATATCTCTAATAAAGTTTATGCGATTTCGATAGGACCATATCCAATGCATAAAACCACAAACCTAAAAAATCAAGTACTCTCCATTACTAAATAGGGTAAATGCACCCCTTATTCGGGTTCTAGCTATTGTTTAAATCAAACTTTATTCATTGAACTTTTGTTACAACAGAAAGACAAACACCTACAGATACTGCATATTTTTTCGCGTCCTTTCTGATTAAGAGAATTCAGACGAGTGACCCATTTAACAAGTATTTAAAAATTAAAATCAACATAACAATACGTTATTTGCAATTGCTTCTAAATCGAGTCATTTAACAATTTACGGAAGTAAGTCGATTTTCATAATTTTTTTAAATATTTATATACTTTATTAAATTATCCTTATTTAAAAACACGTTTTAACAACTTCCTAAAACACCAGTTAACTTAAACTCTTATTGGCAAACCCGAATGCCCGATATCGTCGCCGCCAGGGCTAAACAACTCACATTCAAAATAGACCTTTCATATAAATAATGAAAGTGAAGTATATGCATATATTTAAATATTTACAAGAAAATCCCAAAACCCAATTACTTTCCCTACCAGAAAAGAAAGAAAGAATGCTTTATATAAAATTGCTATCTCACGAATATTTTAAATTGATCTGAGAAGGAGAATTGGGAATCGAATTCCACGCGGAAATATAAGAATCTATGTTGTGATTGAATTGAGGAAATATACAGGGAGTGTTATGCGAGAATATTTTTCTCGCTGAATCTGACGTCAAGTCAAATTGATTAAAGAGAAGACAGCAGATGATAATTAAGGGATAATATGATGTTTTGGGGAGATATTAATAAAATTTTGATTGTTCATGAAATATCACGTGCTAGTATGGTTGAATTTCAAGGTGTGTTTGCTCAGAAATAATTTGAATAGAGCGGCTCGTTGATTTTATACCCTTCGACTCCCACACTGTTCTTACTCATTTGCCTGCGTCCATTGATTGCCGAGGCACTGTTAACTCTCTTCTCTGTCACGCCCAATGAAGCACCGTATGAACGGTCATATACCGAATTCCTATATAAGGAACTATCATCATCGTCCATCATCATACTCGATTGGAACCTTTCGTATTCCTTCTCTTCGTATATCACTGATTTCCGATAGTTCTCATACTCGTTGACCCAAGTCTTAGCACTCTTCACAGTTTGATCGGTTTTAGTGCGTCGTAAAATGTTGTAGAAATTATCGAGAGTTTGGTTCAAGACGTTGCGGGTGTCACGACGAGAAGAGTTAGATTTCCGAGTTCTTTGACGACGGATTACCTTGAACGACTGCGCAATGTTGGCAGATGTATAGATCGTGCTTGGCCGAGATAAGGCTGAAGACTGAAGACGTGATGTAGAAGGTGATGTAGGCTTGGGAACTTCGTGGATGGTAGAGGTGGGGCGGGTAAAAGAGGTGGGTGATGAGGTGTAAACAGTCTGAGAATGGGAATATTTTGAATTGTAAGATGGGGAAACGTAGATAGATGTGGGGCGAGCAGTTGCTTCAGGCATTGCGATAATTTTCTGTATCGTTAAAACGTATATATTTTAATTTTTGGACGTTCTATTTGCTATTTCGTTAAAGAAATTCGTTAAAAAATTTTTTTGAAGTCCTGGTTTTTTATAATGTTCGTTAAGATAAATTTCTTCAAATTTCTATAATATTTCAAATTTTCTTATCTTACAAGATTAGGATAAATATAAATATGTCAAATATTTTATATGGGGCAATATAGATGAGATATATATATTACTTTTGTTATACGAAGATATTTATAATTTGTAAGGAGAAATATACAGTATATATTTCCTTCGATAAGAAAATTTAAAAAAAAACGAAGAAATTTAAACAAATGAAATGAAAATTTTTTTTAGCATTCAGGGTGAAGGCTTTTAGGAAGAGAAATGGTTGGGTATATATATATTTGGCTGTGATTAACGATGATACGATGTTTGCATGTTATACTGTATATTTGTCAGAAGCATTGATGATACTGTATATACTGTATAGTTGTCAGAAACATTAATGATACTGCATAATAAAGTTAAGTAAGAAGTTTTATGTTCGTTTTTTTTTCCAATACTCCTGTGTTTCATAATCTGTGTATGGTAGTTCCCTTTTCAATATATGCACTTGCATGTACCTTCGGCGGCATACGTACGTAAAATGCTGAAATCAAACAAGATTCAGCATGCAGAGATTTCCTTAATTTTAGCGTACCATCTACAACAGCAGGAGAAAAAAACAGGTCAACGTCTAGTTATGGTTAATTCTGAATGGGCGGTGAAAACCACCCACGTAGGGGAAAGATGAACAAAGTTTATCCTTCAGGAGTAAAGCGCCTGGGAACGAATAGCCCTCTTAATCTTAATATCAGGGGGGCAAGTAACAAGAACCATTTCACGGACCACGGACATTAAAGATTATTTCTATATGGAGTCATAAATGCATGGGATATAATTGTGAACGGAGTGCTCATGATACTGGACTTTGTTTATAGCTTATGTACGCCGAGTTCTTTGGCGAACGTACTGTCCATTGTTCTCGAATGACGATTCGGCAAGAAACATAGATGACACTCTCGACGCGTCCTTATCAGCCGTCGACGTAATGTCTCCCGCACTCAAAGTGATTGCGATACGAATGGTATGAAAAAAAAAAGAACAATAACTTCCATTATTCTTAATAAGACTATCTGATTTTCTTGTTTCTATCTTTGGAGAACGCGGGATAAGATGACCCGATAAAATGGATCTGGTCATCCCATTGGTCCACTATGTTGAACAAACATTTCCTTTGACCTAGAAAACTTACTGCATTATACAAATTTAAACTTTAATGGTCCCATCACATTCATCATATTAAATCATTGGAACATGCTTTCTTTCTTACGTACAGAACTGCATACAGCATCTTCTTTCCAATTCTTTGTTCTTCCTTTTCCCATTTCACAAACACCTTTGTACATATACGGTACAATGTGTAACAGCGTGAGATAATGGACACATCGTGAAGAAAGATAGACAATGAGTGCCATTATATCATACCACTGTATTGAAACTTCCTTTTATTGTTCATTTATCTACTTGCATATTTTAAAACTGTTAGAAAAATTTTTTTTATAACGACTGCTACATTCTTTAACCTTTTCTTCCGGATACATCACACACTCACTTGTTTGTCTTACCTCACAAAGATAGAAATCACCTATATTCAGCATCCGAATAGTATTCTCGACAATAATGACAAATTGGGCTCCATTTAACATTCTGTCCAACCACTTTTTTTTTTATCAGGACGTCATTTATGCATTGTGCTCATCATCGAATAACCAGCCTAATCTAAATGATTGACGCGTATAAACATTAATAAACATTAAATGACGCGTGTAGTACTATTATATGTTTATTGTTGAGATATTTGTTACTGGTACGAAATACTTGAAAATCAAATCTAACTAATAGTCATTAGACAAGTGTTCAATGATTTTGGAGAGAGAGAAATAAGTGAATACATTTATCAAAACTTGATTCAATATTAAAGTGTGACCGACATTCTGAAACTATTAGATTAGGTAATGGATTACGTTTGGAGATTGTGAGACGATGATACACGCACACAATGGATCTTGCTTTCGAAAATTTGTGTTCATTTGTATTCTTACTCATACTCGGAATTACGGAATTCCCTCCAAAACTGTAATATTAAGGACTATTCCTCAAAGAGTACAGGATAAGCATGTAACAAAGTAGAATCCCGCCCAAAAGAAAAAAGAAAATCCTCGATGAGAGATCATCTGCGCATTAGAAAAACATTCCACATAAATTTCCTTGATGCATCGATGGAACGTATGTGACGGTAGAACATGCAGAGAAAATGTGTTTAAAATTGAAATTTTACATTGACACATGTGGAATCTAAGGTAACGTATCGAGGCATCGAAAATAAAATAAAAATGACGTTTCGTAGTACACAAGTATAAATCATTGACCGAATTAAGATTTATTGTAGAGGGTTACTTGATCATATATAATCTTGGCGGAGCCTTTTAATATGTATAATTACGGAATTCCATCATCCGTCTTCCACTGGGTATGTCATTTCTATAACACGCGTCTGTTATCAGTCACAATGAGTCACGGTCACATGATTAACAATTATAGTTTAAAATACTGTACATTATTTAATTTATAATAATTAAATTAGATAATCATGCATTGGAAAAAAACAAGTATTAAAAAAAAAGATGATAATTAATATAAATGTTATAGTTGTTAAATTATCAAATTTAAATATAAAATTTATTTCTTAAGTTATAATATACAGTATATTTTAAATAAATAAATCTAACATCTTGATTTGTAACAATAGTTATAATTAATAATGTTTTTGCTTTTGTTTTGTAAAATATTTGAAATATTTCTTTCAATTTTATTACTAACAAATTTCAAATTTGTATTATTTATTAATTTGCAATTTTTTATTAAATTATTTATTTTATTAAGTTTTTTTTTATTATAATTTTATATTGTTTTTTTATATATAAGCTTAAAATGATTTTATTAAATTATAATTAAAAAGGTTTATAATTTAAATTTTTGATTTTTTAGCAATTATAAAATTATAATAATAATTAATTATTAAAATTATATTAGTATATTAATTAATTAATTATAAATTAATATAAAAAATTCTTTTAATCTATAATAAAAGATTTAAAAAATTTTTTTATATGGTTTATAATATTTTATCTTGTTAATTAACAAATATAAAAATTTTTTTTTTGTTTTAATAACAATAAGTTAATCAATAATTTATAATTATAAAAGTATTTTGTTTATACTTAAAAATCTTTAATAAAAAGATTTTATTTTTGACTTTTATATTTAATATATAATTTTTTAATATAAAAATAATCTTTTAAATTATTTTATATAAACAAATATAAATTATAAATTATATTAATAATCTTTTTTAATTATTATAAAAATAAAATATATAATTAAATAAAAAATTTAAATAAATTAAATAAAACTTATTTTAATTATATTTTTTTTTATTATAAATAAGTTACAGTTTAAGAATTCAAGAACCTTTAAAACAATTAATATAATAAAATAAGATTTTTGATTGAAGTTTATTCAAGTTTGAAAGTCTTATTTATTCTTTAATTATATAAAAATAAGCTTTTAGTAATTTTTTTTTCTTTTGTTTTTTTATATCTCTTTTTATATATACTATATTATAAAAATTATTTATTACATTTGTTAAATCAAATATTTTTTAAAAAATATATTTAAACAAAGTTGTTAAATCTATTATTTGTTTTAATATAATCTTTATATATAATTTTATTATAATAATATTTATTGTATTATTTTAAAATTTAAAAAAAAAATTTTAAAAAATATCAAAATCAATTTATTTTTTTTAAATAATAATTGCTTTTTAATCATTTACTCAAATTTTATTAAAATAACAAATTAAAAATCAAATTTATTTAAATTATTTTTTCAATATAATAATAATAATAATAACTATTATAACAATAAACAATATTAATTATACTTTATTATTTATATCAATAAAAATTATATCTTTAAAATTAGTATTAATACAATGACCAAATATTTGATTTTCTTTTAATATTCTTTTTGTTTATATAAATCTTATAGTTTAAGCAACTTAGTTATAGTTTTAAAATCCATGTTATTGTAGCTTCAGTTTATTTTTTTTTTAATTTTTATTTACTTTTTATTTTCTTTATATTTAATCAAAAATTTTAAGTAAGTATAATTATATTTAATTTGATATATATTTTATATCCAAAAAATATTTATATAACTTTTTTAAAATATTATATTAAATAAAAATAAAATTTATTAGAAAATAAAATTATATCAAATTCTTTATTTTCAAGTTAAATTTTATTAGATTTTAAATTTTTTTTTATTATATTATAATATTTTTTATTTTTTTAAAAAGATTTTATTTATCTTAATTTAATTTTGAAAAAATCATATTATATCAGATTTGTTAAAATCAATTGATTAATTTTTAAATTAAACAATAGCTATATACAGTATATATATATATAATAAAAAAATAAAAAATATATATTGCAAATGTTTTATATAAATTTTTAATTTATTATAAAATATATTTAAAAAATAATATATAGATAAATAAAATTATTATTATTTATTTGTATAGTTACTGTAGGCAAGCTAGCATTTAACTTATTGTACTAACACATGAAAGATGTTGTTTCTTTCATGATATATACCATGTCATATACAAATCAAATAAAGAATGATGTTTACCTACTTAAAAAAAAAAAAATTATTATTATTTATTTTTATTTATTTTATTTTATTTATTTTATTTTTATTTTTATTTTTTGTATTTTATATTTTATAAGATCAAAAATTTTAAAAGTTAATATTTGTTTTTGTTAATTTAAATATTTTTTTTTTTTGTTTATTTCAAAAAAACAATTAGAAAATAAATTTTTAAAATATTGAAAATATAAATTATTCAAAGCAATAAAATTTTTATATAAGTTTTTTGAATATTTTTTAAAAATTCAAAAATGATAAAATTAAATAATTTATTTAATCACAGATAGTAACAATAGATTTGTTCTAATGGTTTGGATCTTAAGATTGTTAAAAGGTTTTTTAATTAGGAATTCTTTTTTTCTATTGAATTTTTCTTAAGTATATAATATCAATACCACTGAAGTACAGGTTCAAATCTTGAGAATGATTCTACTAAAGAATCCTTCCTTTATTGAATTTTTTAAAGGTAAGATCTTGATATGACAACTTCTGCTTTTACTTTCAAATAAGGTGAATCACATCAAGCTAAAATGAAGTTAAATTGATATAATTCCTTGATACTATAGGTAATAAATAGAATCTCAATGTATTGAAACTTCATATGTTATAAAAATAAAGTATTAAAGGTAAGGCCCTGAAAGTTGAGTTAAAAAAAAAAGTAATGATCTAACCACTTGTTTTATAATTTCATTTAGTAAATATTTTAAATTTCACGGTTTTAAATCAAATTGGTTATTAAACCTTTTAACAAACAATCGCTAATCATCAACAATTTGTTATAGAAATATTCATTTATTTCGTAACATCCAATAATTCATTGTTTGCCGTTATAAAAGAAAAGTAACCAAAATAATAATAGAAAATACAAAAACATTCATTAAACGTATTATATTAGAAAATCAAAAAGTTGTGGATTTAATTGGTTTAGCTAACACTCAAATAATTTTTCCACCAGTCTTCGAATGAAACACAATTCACATCAATCCCTAGATTTGCAAGCTTCTCACATGACAAGTGACAATCATACGGTCGTTTCGCTGAAAAATTTTGGTACGAAAATTAATGTATATTTTATGTCCACACATAAAAAATGATTACTTACTGGCTGCTGAAACAGGTACAGAATCTATAGGTTTAATATGATCTATGGGAATATGTACAATCCTAGAAAACACCTCTAATTTGACACAAAATAATGATAATATCGTGAGTTTCATCACATCGGATGTCAAGAATATCAAAGCATTTGTATTTACCACACATTTGGTACTTTGTTAAATTCTCATTGGCGCTGAAATGGAACACTCCAGAATTCGGAAAATTCGGTTTCTCTACAAGAAAAATAAAATCATAATTAAAACTAAAACAACATTCACACACAAGTTTGTCAAAAAGAACATTTTACCTAATATATCCCTGATAACTCGAGCTACATCTTGCACTAAAATTAAAATATCGTAAATCGGAAAATCAAGTTAAATTATGAATAATCCAGAGTAAATCATTCTTTTTACCGTTTGTAGGATATCTAATCGCATAATGATCCATTTCTATTTTTCTTGAAGAATTCTGTTTAGTGAAAAAAAAAATTATTAAAAAAACGACACACTTTGCAGATAAATAAAACTAAAGACATTAGTAAATAAATAAGGTATTTACTTTCACTGATTCCACTAGAACGTTAACAGCTGATTCATCAGGATATTCCACTTCACCATACCTATGCAATTAACATTTTACAATGAGCTGGATGTCAACCCATTACTATAATGTTTAATAAATATATTACAAAATTGGAACTCGTAGGATAATTGCTTTCGGGCTAACATTTTGAACTGCGAGTTCACCTCTGTACTTGGTTTCACCTTATTAATTGTGCAAAATTAATTTCATCGGATTAAGTAAAAAGATTATAATTTGCGAATGATGCTATACCATAAGAATTCAATGGATTCGGTTTGTCATCTACATCATAAGGTGGATTTTTTCCATCAAATACATAGTCTGTAGAGATATAAATCAATGAAAAGTTATGGATTTTCGAAAGTGTGGCGAGATGATCCGGAACATTCACATTGAGCTAAAGGAGATATAAATAAATTTAGTATACATTAATTCTTATTCACCAGCTTATGATAAAACAGTATAGTTAATCATCTATTAGCACCTCTAAAGCAACTTCTCTATTTTTTTCTACAACGTCAGGCCTTCGCTCGGCCGCGGTGTGAACGATTGCTAATATATCAAAAATTTTTAGAATAAATCTTTAGATTTGAGCAATTGAATGGAAAAATTAGAACCATCTGGTTTAAATTCGTGAATTAAAGATTCTAACGCTTCTTTGTTGGTCAAATCAATCTATTCATAATTTTATCCATTTTTTGATTAACTATCAAAACAATTCAACTTGCAACAAAACACGAAATGTTAAAATATTTCACCTGCTTCAGGCCATTTCTCACGCGACTTCTGGCAAGACCAAGCACTATAAATATCGGAAGTTTAAAATAAGATCCGAAAATAATTTCTATCAGATGATTAAAAATTAAAAATTTCACCTTGATGACTCGATTCATTAAAAGTTTTATAAACAGCACGGCCTAAAAGACCAGACGCTCCCGTAATAATAATTCGCATTTCTTTTTCGATACGTGAAGTTGCTGATCGACAGATACCAAACTGATCTACCGTATTTATGGTAACTGACATTTATAGTATATAAATTAAGTTTATAAATATATCAGAATAATAATATTAAATTATAATTATAAAAAAATAGCAATTTAAAAAAATCCAATTTTACATCAATTACAAATAATAATAATAATAAATAGTTAATTATTAAATCATTTCAATATAAATTAATTAAATATAACTTTAAATGATTTTTTTTTTTATAAAATTTTATTATTATTATTATATACAGTATATATATTTATTATTATTATTATATGACCTGTGGGTCTATAGCACAGTGGTCAGTGCTCCCAGGTCCAGATCACAAGATACCAGTTCAACTCCAGGTGAAGGTGGTTTGAATAGAATTAATATGGTATCTGGCGCCGTGATCTGCAAAGCGCCGTTTCTTATAAGAAG